TAATTAGCCAAAGAAAATAGCTTAAACTTTGCCATTCAAAGTTATCAGGAAATTGTCTCATCTACAATTCTGTAAAAAAAAAAAAAAAAGCTATTCACCCCCTCTATGGATTTTCTGCATTTTTGCATATCTTTGTCACTTTTATTTTACTAGAGCTTCCCCTGAGTCTCCTCTCCTCTTTATAAAGGGAATCTGAGCGAACAAACACCTTTAAAGTTTGGAAGTGGTTTCAAATAGCTCGCAAAATAATTCGGTCACTGATGTTAGTTATTATTTTCCTCACTCTGGTGGGTTAAAGGTTGGGTGACTTCGTTTAGGAAACAAATCAAAGAGAAGTCAACTTTGTTGTTAGTTGTTCCCTCAAAAGTTTCTTTATGTATCAGTGTGGCCCACCTGAAACTTTTGTAACATTCAGTGTAAAAAAATATATACAAACATTCAATGTCTATGGAGATTCTCGGTCATCCAGATCATAGGTGTCCCAAACATAAATTTCTAGATTCTACCATATCTCAAGACCCAAAATGGTCACATAACATCCAAAACGTCATCAAAAAAGCACAACAAAGAATGTTCTTTCTGTGCCAACTCAGAAAGCTCAAACTGCCCAAGGAGCTGCTGATCCAGTTCTATGGAGGAATGATTGAGTCTGTCATCTGCACCTCTATAACTGTCTGGTTTGGTTCTGCAACCCAACAGGACAGACACAGACTCCAGAGGGTAATTAGGACTGCAGAAAAAACAATGGCTACCCACTTGCCTTCAATTGAGGACCTGTATACTGCACGAGTCAAAAAGAGGGCTGTGAAAATATCTACAGACCGCTCACATCCCGGACATAAACTGTTTCAATTCCTACCCTCAAAACGACGCTATAGAGCACTGCACACCATAACAACTAGACACAAGGGGAGTTTTTTTCCCCCCAACGCTATTACTCTGCTAAACAGGTAATTCCCTCAACACTGTCCAACTATTTACTAAGGCTGCATTACTATTACTATTAATCCTCCCATACTTCCTTTCACCCATCTCCTCCCACTTATGACTGTATGACTGTAACCTTGTTGCTTCTATCTTTATGATTTATATTGGCTGTTTCCTAGTATGATTTGATTGCTTATTGTACCCTATGACTATCATTAAGTGTTGTACCTTATGATTCTTGACTCTTGACGAATGTATCTTTTCTTTTATGTACACTGAGAGCATTTGCACCAAAGACAAATTCCTTGTGTGTCCAATCACACTTGGCCAATAAAAGAATTCTATTCTATTCTATTCTATTCTATTCTATTCTATTCTATTCTATTCTATTCTACTCTACTCTACTCTACTCTACTCTACTCTACTCTACTCTACTCTACTCTACTCCACTCCACTCCACTCCACTCCACTCCACTCCACTCCACTCCACTCCTCTCCACTCCACTCTCCACTCCTACCTCTACTTCTACTTCTACTGTATTCTCATCCAAGAAGCTTTTTCAGCTCTTAACTGGACTTTGTTTTTTTTCCTTTGAAGACATTTAGCTTCTTATCCAAGAAGCTTCTTCAATTCTCCACCATCCAGTCAGAGCTGAAGAAGCTTCTTGGATGAGAAGTGAAATGTCTTCAAAGAAAAAAACACCAGAAAGTTCAGTTGCCTCTTAAAAAAAGCACCTTTGGGACATACAACCATTCAGAATACCACCTCCCAAAACCTAAAACTTCCCATATAACTGCACGGATAGCATCTTTCCATCGTTATCTTTGGGTTTATCTATTCCACGCTAATAATAAACATTAAACTGAGAATATTCACTTTTACATTGCTTCCCACCTTAAGAATTTTCTGGAACAATTCTAGGTATGATTTTAAGGGAATTCATAGCAACAACATTAAACTACAATTTCTTCAGTTAAACTGAGGCTCTCCTTCATTCAGCAATTGTCAGGTTTTATATGTTATCAATAAACTCCCTTTTTATGACTCTGTAATCCTTTAATTTGGGGAAGAGTCAGGGTGACTCTATGGAACTCAGGATTTACCCGCCGGATTCCCTTCCGGATGCCTACGTGGGGTTCACAGCAGATATTTTCCCTTTGCGCCCTAGGAGAAAAATATCTACTCATCCTAGGATTGAACTCTCAACCTACTGAGTGGGAGGTGAATGTCTTCACCACTAAACCATTGTCCCAGTCCTCGATATATTATCAACGTCTGCATTTATTTAAATATAAATATTCCAAATGAATAAACTCTCATTTTGTTGGCTTAGCAGTCTAAGCTCTGAGGTCAGTTTTCAAATTACACATTTCCCAGCTTCTGATTTTTATTTTTTATTTTTTACCAAAGATCTACTGTCCTTCTTGCCTAATCCTCCAAGGATTTCTTTAATCTATTCAAGAATGGCAAGTACAGATTCTCTAACAATCCACCGATTCTCTGAAATCAGTGCAAAAAGGTAACCATTCACTAACGGGGATGTAGATTTATGACAAAGCACTTTCCCATTTCCAAAACTGTAGCGTAGCCATACAAGCTCCAAAGTCATTTTGACAGTAAGACTTATGATGTGCTTTGACTGGGGCTTGAAGACAGGGAGACACCTCCAATATTCTTGAGTTAAGTCACGACCGCTTTCCACAATCAACATTTTTAAATGAAACACTTAACTATCATTTGCAATCTCTAAATTTTGGGCAGCACCACAGAAACACACTGCCCAGAAAGAAAGAAAGAAAGAAAGAAAGAAAGAAAGAAAGAAAGAAAGAAAGAAAGAAAGAAAGAAAGAAAGAAAGAGAAAGGAAAGAGAAAGGAAAGGAAAGGAAAGGAAAGGAAAGGAAAGAAAAGAAAAGAAACCCTTACTGCAAGGCTCTTCAAACTTGGCAAGTTTAAGACTTGTGGACTTCAACTCCCAGAATTCCTCTGCCAACATGACTTGGAGGAGGAATTCTGGGAGTTGAAGTCCACAAGTCTTTAAAGCTGTCAAGTTTGAAGACCCCTGCTCTATCTGCCAGAATTTCCCAGGTTCAAAGGTTTGGTTAACCCAGGGGGGTCTTCAAACTTGACAGGAATTCTGGGAGTTGAAGCCCACAAGTCTTAAAACTTGCCAAGTTTGAAAACCTTTGGGTTAACTTCTGAAGTCAACAACGAAAGTGTGTGTGGGGGCGGGGGGGGGGTGTCACTTGGACTGCTACCCAACCTCGATTGCATTATCCAGACTTTCCACCAGAGGGCAGCAGGAAAGACACTTGCAGTAGGGAAATGTTAAACTCTTTGCTGGCCTCTAGGGAACTCCGGAATTTTAACACGCCTCTTTTTTTTTTTTTTTTGAAAGCCGTCTGAACGTGGCCTTGTTTGGATAGACCTCCAAAGCAGAAGGATTCGAGTCAAAACACCCAGAATTGCAACCGGCTGAAAGATTGTGCAGTGCAGATTCTCTTGGGTGGGTGGGGAAGCCTGGCCCGCATACGACGCAAATCCAGGGGGTGGGGGTGGGGGGGTGGGGGAAAGCCCATGCAATGAAACTGCGCAAATTCCTGCTACCTTAGGAGTAATTGCTACCATTCCTGCAAACTACAAGCAATTGGATGGGTTCCTAGCCCAGGTTGCGTCTCCGTTGCCAAGTTCCAAATTCCTCCCTGGGTCGTTGTCTTTAACAGATTTAACAGAACAGCAGAGTTGGAAGGGACCTTGGAGGTCATCTAGTCCAACCTCCTGCCTAGGGGCCCCCCTTTTTCGATTGAAGCAATATTCCATTTCGGTGCAAACCCCCCCCCCCCCCTTTTATGGAGTTTGTCAGTTCCTCCCCTTCCTTCCCACCCACCCGGCGTTAAAAGCAAAGGCAGGTTCCCGCAGGAATCCAACCCTCCTCCGCCTCCCCCCACCCCCGTTCAGAAGGCAGCGTCTTCTCGGTGCCAAGCCTAACCCTGGACCTCCAAACCTCGCAGAGCAATCCTACAGATTCCCCCCCCCCCCCCCTCCCTGCCTCGCCTTCCCCCCCGGGGAAAACCCCCCAAGCCCCCCCCCCCTAAAAAAAAAAAGTTATGCCGAGTTTTTAAAACCCCCCCCCACAACCAGCCCTCCAGCAAATCCAAAACCATAAGGGGGGCGGACTTTGCGCAGCAAAGCAGAGCACTCTGCACGCACTCAGATGCCGAGGGCCCAAAGCGCCCCCCCTCCCGCGGAGAAGTAGTAACGGGGGGAGGGCGGGTGGAAGGGAAAGGAGAAGAAGAGCTTCCTATCTGCGGCTCGGCCCTCTATCCCCCACCCTTCCCCCACCGTCCGGCCAGAGACCCCCGGCTTTTTTCCACGCTGGGCCGCTGGATTGGGACTCCTGCTTGGGAAGGGAGTTGGAGTAGACTAGATGATCTCCAAGCTCCCTTCCAACTCTTAATTTTCCCCGGCCCGACTCAGCCGCTGAAGCAGAGCGTACCGTTCGCTCTCTCTCTCCCTCCCACCCCCCTGTGTGTGTGTGTGTGTGTGTTGGGGACTGGACGACAGACCCTCCGGGAAAGTCTCAAAGTTGCTCTCCGGTGGGGGCTACGAGCACCCCCCCCCAAGACCTCCGGGGACATCCACCCTCCTTTGTCCTGCTTCTCTGCCCCTCCCCTCCCACTCTCCCCCCAAATATAACAGCTTGCCCTCGGACGTTGTGTGTGGGAGCGTCCTCCCTGGGAGACTTCCAAGAAGAGATTGGGCTGCCCGATATGTCCGAACTGCTTAGGCGGGGTTGGACTAGACGACCTCCAAGGCCCCCTTTCCCAACTCTTAATTAATCTGCTCGTTTCCCCTGGCCCGGCTCCTTCAGCTGCTCTCTCCCCTGACGCAGAGCGAATCGTCCGGGGTGTGGGGGAAAAAAAACAGACCCTCCGGGAAAGTCTCAAAGTTCCCCTCCGGGTGAGGGCTACGAGCCGCTGCCCTCAAAAGACCCCCGGGGACCCTCTCTGTCCTGCTTCTCCGCGCCCCCCCCCCCCCCCTCCCCCCCCCCCCCCCCCGCTTCCCGGGGCCTTACCTTGCTTGACACACTTCAGCCGGACGGGGTCTTTGCAATGCTTGATGACGGCCAACACATCCCGGATGGTGAGCCCGGCCACGGGGGTCTCGTTGACCTCCAGCAGCAGCTCCTCGGGCACCAACTTCCCGCCGCTCTCATAGGCCACCTGGCCGGCGTTCACCTCCCCCACGTAAGGGAACTGCCCGTTCTCGGCTCCCCCTTTCAGCTCGAAGCCCAGCTGGCCCTCGGCGTTCCGCACCACGGCGCATTCGTGGACTCGGTGGGTCCAGTGGCTTTTTTTCTTCAAGCCCCCTTTGGACATTGCCGTGGGGGGCTGGGGGGCTGGGGAGTGGGGACTGCGGCTGGCGCGGCCGGCTTGCTTCCCCCCACCTCCCGGGCCTCAGGGGTATGTCCTTGGGGTTCCCTTTTGGCGGGGAAGGAGGAGGGCGGGCGAGGAAGGAGGGAAGGAGGAGGAGGAGGAGGAGGCAGGGAAGGGTTGCGCTGGGGCGGGGGGTCTGCCGCCTTTAGTTTGGCTCGGCGGCGGATAGAAAGAAGGGAAGGAGAGAGAGGGAGGGATGGAGGGGGAGAGGAACAGGGAGGAATGGGGAAAGGAAGGAAGGAAGGAAGGAAGGGATGGGGAAGGCTGGCTCTAGCGGCGGCCGAGGCGGGAGCCGCAAGCCATGGCAGCCCCCGCTGCAGCCCCCCGCCGCCCTGGCCGCTGCAGCAACTCGGATGCTGGGATGCTGGCAAGCTGGGAGCGCCTCTCTCTCCCTCTCTCTGTGTCTGTCTGCCTTCCAGCCAGCGAGCAAGACTAGTTGTACAGTAAGTGTCGGGCGAGGGTGGGTGGGCAGGCTGTGTGCAACGCCTGGAACGGAGGCCGGGGGAGTGGGGGGGGCGCAGCTGGGGCTGGCTGGGCTGGCTGGCTGGCTGGGAAGAGCTCTCCGTCGCGCTGACCCGGTAGTTGAAGACCGGAGAGAGAAAGAGAGAGAGAGGCTGGCTTCGCCACAAACGGGGAGGCGAGAAGAAGGCGGGGAGAGAGAGAGAGAGAGCACAGCCAGCGGTGGGTGGGGAGGGAGGGAAGGAAGGAAGGAGGAGGGAGAAGGAGGAGAAGAAAGAAGGAGCCGCTGGAGAGGGCAGAGAAGGAGAGAGTGCCGCAGGCGGCGGCTGCGGCGCCACGGCGGGGACGCACTCTTGGACCCTCGGTTTTTATCTCCCTCTGAACGCGGAGGATCCGACTTTCTTTCCCCCCCCCCCCCCCTCGCCCCCCCCCCCCCCCCCCCCCCCCCCCAGCCCTGGGGTCTCCTTGGGGTGGGGGATGGGGATGGGGGCTGCCGTCGCTCCAGCTGGAAGGCAAGGCTCTCCAAAAGGGGGAAAGCGAAAAGGCCACTTCCTCTCAGCCCTTTCACTTTCTCTCGCTCTTCTGGGGTTGAACAAAATAATAACAGTAACAGGCATTGACACATTGGCCGTCAATCAATTGCAGAAGGCAGCTTGGCTTGGAACGGCTTCCACCCTGCAGGCAATATCTGTAACACCTTCAAACATTTGCCTATCCCAGGTCCTTGGTAAGGACTAGAAAGGTAGAGCCAAAATGCCAAACCCAGTCTGAACATCTGGCTGACTGTGCAAATAATAATAATAATAATAATAATAATAATAATAATAATAATAATAATAATAATAATAATAATAATAATAATAACAACAACAACTGATCACATACTGAGCTGTTGCAAGACAATCGCTCAGACTGACTACAAACAACCTCACAACACAGTCGCTCAGATGGTCCACTGGAACTTGTGTCACAACTACCATCTGCCTGTAGCAAAGAACTGGTGGGATCATAAGCCTGAAAAAGTGGTCAAAAATGAGCATGCAAAACTACTGTTGGGCTTCCAAATACAGACTGACAAAGTTTTGGAACACAATACCCCGGATATCACAATTATGGAGAAGAAAAAAGTGTGGATCGTCGATATTGCCATACCTGGTGACAGCAGAGTCGACGAGAAAAAGTCACCAGATATCAGGACTTGAGAATCAAACTGCAGAGACTCTGGCATAAACCAGTGCAGGTGGTCCCAGTGGTACTGGGCACACTGGGTGCTGTGCCTAAAGACCTCGGCAAGCACTTGAAAACAATTGGCGCTGACATGATCACCATTGGTCAGCTGCAGAAGGCCACCTCACTGGGATCTGCTCGCATAATCCTCCGATACATCACGCAGTCCTAAACGCTTGGGAAGGGTTCGACTGGTGATTTGTGATATGAAAACCAGCATTGTTATCTCGTTTGCTGTGTACACTGTAGTTTTTTGTGAATATGGACTAGTTGCTGGTCACTCAGTGTTAGTCCAATTTTACAAAGAGCTCGTTTGTTCTGTTTAAAGTCAGCAAGCTTTTTGGCATCATCCTCATTTTCTGGATCCCAAGCATTTACATCCGGTGGGTCTTGAACTACATTCCATAAACCTTCTCTACGCAGAAGTAGACTGCATTTCATAGACCAGGAAACATAGTTTGTTCCATACAACCGGGTTATCAGTGATAGACTTGTTGAAGTGACTTGTACCATCTTTACCAGGATAGTAAACAGTAAACAGCTGTCTGTATACAGTACTGTGCATTCACACTAACTCTCAGTTATCTAAGCCTGGTATAGTCTGGGCCCATAACCAATGTTGAGGTAATTCCCCGCTAGGAGAATGAGCGCATACAGGGAGACGTATTTGAGAGAAGTGTTTGAATAATACACACACAGTACACAGATACACTGTACAGTAAATGTAGGTTTTTACTTCCAGAAAGGTTTAAGCAAAGTCCAAAATAAGCAATCCAAAGTCATTCACGAGTAAATCAGTCAGTTTTCAATCCAGGGATAATCCAAAAAGCAAAGTCCAGTGTCAAAAAACAGTTCAGTAACAGACGTACATTAAATCCAGTAATATCAGTCAATTAGAAGAAATGGAGGAACGGCAATACTTTCCAACAGAAGGAAACAGAGATACACTCACACTCTCTTCTGAGACTCAGACTAAGACAAACCAGGTTTCTGGCTCCATTTTATGGCCGTTTGAGAAACCACATCTAATTACAGTTTTGCATTTTCTTAAAGTTACAGTTTTAAAATGTTTATCCTGGTTTATATATTTCTAACCCAAATAGCTGTTAGGTGACTCATATTCCTAACAAACACCATGCAAATAAAGTAATCAAACAAAATCACGTTTGAGAGATTAACAATTGAAAAACCCCAAGTCGATGGATTGTGTCATCTTCTACAAGGGCAGTGTGTGTAACCTCTCTAGGGACCACATGTCATAACCCATACACTACTACTCAGAAAATCCTGGTGTTTATCATCCCAGCAGCACGGAGTATAAAGTGAGAGGGATGAGCTGCTTGGGGATTCGCAGGGGTTCGGGAGAGTCCCTAGCTAAGATTCTGTGCACTTCGGAGAATCCCCAAATCCCACTCCTGGCTGGACCCGCCCACCCCTCCCTGCCTCTCCCAGGAGTCCCCACACGGCCCAGGTAAGGGCAAGGAGCGCACGGAGGCTTGGGGAGGGTGAATAACAGGCCTCCTGGAAGTTCAGGAAGGCCAGAAAGGGCCCGTTTCTGCCTTCCAGGGAGCCTCAGGAGCCCGGGGAGGCTGTTTTTGCCCTGCCGGAGGCTCAAGGAAGCCTCCGGAGCCCGGGGAGGGCAAAAACGCCTCCTTCCCCACCATGGTGCAGGAGGCTGACTAGGCCATGCCCACCATGGCCACGCCCACCCAGCAACCGGGCTGAGAACCCTTTGCTAAGATTTTTGAAGCCCACCCCTGGTAAAGTCCTGATAGGAAGTCTTAAAGCATGGCTGGGTTGATGTAGAACTGAAAGTATCGTGCCAGGGTTTTAAAGGAATTTAACACCGTCCCAGAAGATGTTGTCTTTAAATGAAGGACGTGCCTGGATTTCTCTGGAGGCTGCATGCAAATCAATTCAGATGTAAGCTCCGTGAGTTAAGTGGGATTTATTGTCAAATAAACATTGAAACATCTGTAAGAAAACCACCAAGCTCCAAGGACTACACAGTTCAACCCCGAGCTACAAATATTATCTTATTAGCTCCATACCCATGCTTCGCTATGAAACTATGTGGTCGGACTTAGATTTTGGGGAGGAAAATAAGGGTTGGGGTTTAATTCTGTCTCTGCCTACCAGCATCCATCTGGCTAGCATCCTGTCAGTCTGTGAGAGAGTTGACAGCTGTTTGGAAACTGAAAGAGTATTTGCTGTGTCCGCAAGGAGACAGCAAGGAGCCTGGGCGTGGCTTAGTTCAACTGTTCTGTACAGTTTCAATTTCTGTGAAACTGGAACTGAAACTCCTCTGCTTGTGTTTTGCCTTTGGAACAGATTTCTTTTCAGGTGGGGAGGGGGAGTAGAACTCCTTAGCATCAGAGCGTGTTAATAGTAATAATATAGGAAATACTCTAAATGCTCTGATGGCCATTTGGAAAAATCCTTTCTTAGTGAGCACTAGAAGCCAAGAGGAACATAAGTGCCAAATTTCAGGTTTGTAGGCTGTATGGTTCTGGAGAGTTTGTGATGATGCATGAGTGGTATTTCGCTTTTATACTGTATATAGAGATATTGAAACATCCAGAGTCTTGGAAATCCAGTTTAATGTTGAGATTTAATATTTCCTATCCAGGTCAATAGGAATGTTCGCATCCATACAGCCCAGCTAAACCTGGTTCCACTTTGTTGAGAAGACTGTATGATTAGAAATTTCATCAGGTCTTCTGAATCTTGCTTGAGCAAACTGGTAGTTATTTAGTCTCTATTCCCCATACCAATAAAGGAGAATATTGGTAGCTCAGGGTTGAAATGAGTACTCTCTGAGTTTGGTTGTTTTTCTTGCAGATGTTTCATTACCCAACCAGGTAACATCTTCAGTGCTAGTAGGGAGTGACGTTTGCTCTCATTTTACATTTGGTGACCCACACTGATAGGGAAAGCCACCAGAATGTAAAATGAGAGCAAACCTCACTCCCTACTAGCACTGATGATGTTACCTAGTTTGGGGAATGAAACGTCTGCAAGAAAACAGGCAAGGTCAGAGAGCACCAAGCACCTCTCATCTCTTTCCTGTTTTTAGCACCTATTTTAAGTTTAAGATGATTTTATGAATTGGTGAGATGTTCTTATCTGGCTCTTTCCATAACATAGACTGTTGATATTCAGTGATTCCATGTTATTTGGAAAACATTCAATCGATCAATCAGAATAGCTCTGGAAGGGACCTTCAAGGTCTTCTAGTCCATCCCCTGCTCAAGCAG